GCGGCTAGACCTAATCTTGCTAGGGCGGCGCCGGCTTTGGGCTTGAATTGTGCGGATTGGGCTTCAAAAACGGTTTCGGGTCGACCGCGGCGTTCGGACGGTCGTCGGGACGATCGGCCGGACAGTCGGGTCTTGGCCGAGTCGGAACGGTCGGTGGCCGGATGGTTTCACGGTCGGCCGGCTTGGTCGGGCGGAGAAGATTTGGCCGATGGTTTCTCGGCCGGACGTGGGACGTTCTTCCCCGGCTCGGACGGATGCATCGGCCGTGGTACGCGAACGGGTTGCGCGGCCGCGAGGCCTTGTTTCCCGGCTCGCGCGCTTTGGTCGTGCGCGGCGTGGCGTGAACGTTTGAAGCTTGGCCGACCGCGGGACAATGTTTCCCGGGTCGCGTTGCGTGATCGGCCGAACGGCTTCGACTTTGGCCGAGACTTCAGTCGGACGGAATACGGCTTTGGCCGAGCGCGGAACATTCGTTCCTCGGCCAGCCGGACTGCGCGTTCGGGCGCTGATTCTCGATATAGCCGTCTGGAGCAGCCTTCACTCTTTTGGCTATAACTCCTTTTCTACTCATCCAAATGAAGGCCATTCCAGTTGCGTTGGAAAGTTAACTCAATCAGAGCACGCAGGGAACTGGTCTTGATGAAATCCATTGAGTAGATCTTTTTCTAGCTCCATCCAAAGTTGATGCAGGGGCATTGAACTGGTTTAGAGTCCAAATCTCCTGTTTTGCTCCATAATGCACCTTTTTACCTAAAATGACTCTTTGCACTATAAATCCATAAAAACTACCTTTTAACACAAGAATCCACTAGAAAACCATTAGAAAACCATAGTAAAATAGCATAAAAAGTGGGTAAAATAGAGGTATATCAACTCCCCCAGACTTAGATCTTTGCTTGTCCCCAAGCAAAAAGAATCTAAACTAGTGAAGAGGTTTTGAAAAACGTGGGAACTCTCTTGCTTCTTTGAAAATCCTGTGAAAGGTTCCTTTCCTGTATTCCACTAAGAACATAGTCAACATAAGGTTAGCTTCACATACACCCTGCAAGTTTAGCAACATTACCAACCCAACTAGTCTCATCCAGCAATCCAAACTCTCTATTGTTAACCTCTTGCAGAAATTTAAAGCGTGAGTTCTTTATCAAGGGAAAATCGATCAATTGAACTTGTTCTTACCCACTTGATCTTCTCCAAGATTGTCTTTGAGGTGCAATGAGTTCCTTTCCTCTCTCTTTCTCACATCAGAACTTTGAAAGGTCAATTTCTCCCTACTTTTCTAGGGTATCATTTTATTTTTTCTATTGACCTTTCTTTCAACCATAGGATAAGTCTTTCTTTCTTTCTAAGGGCCGATCATCCCGACCGACCGTCCGAACGCCGCGGTCGACCCAAAGCCTGTTTTGAAGCCCGTTTCACACGTTTTCACGGCCCGGCTTAACCCTAAGCCGCCTCTGAAGACCTAGCACTATATATATAGCTTTTTAGCCTCTTGTGAAAGAGAGCCGCCCTTGTATCACGATTTCCTACTCTAAGTTTTATTGCAATCATGTTTTCTTCATCTCTATGTGTGTTTGCTTTGATCATGTCTGAGTAATCCACTAGTTAGGTTGCTAGGGTTACTATTCAATGAGTTGCTTGCATGATCTTTGATTTCGATGATTAGCTAGGGATTATATTAGAGTCTTTGTCTCGTCTTGTGCACTTAACTAATGCTGATTGCTTTACCGCGCATCTAGTAATCCGATCTTAGGTTGATTTGAGCCTCGACAGTGTTGTATCATTCGCCGGACATATTCTTTGACAAGCTAGGTTTCTTACATCTAGTGAACTGTATCAGAACCTATTCATTCTAATGCTTGATTTAATCACCTAGGGACATACCAAAAGTTTAGCGACTAGGTAGATTAACAAAGGAGCCGGAGCCTCGAAAGTGGAATGGTTTTATATTCGTGATCTGTGTTCTAGACGGTTCTTAATATCCCAATATCCCTAATCAATTCATCTATCATTGTTTCATTGATCATTGCTTGCTTCTCTGCGATTAGCCCCTGTTGACCTAGCGCTTTTCCTTATTGATTTACAACCTCGTTATACTTGCTAGTTCGGTTCACCATTACAACCTCAATCATACTTTTGTTTTAGCTTGATCCAAAATCCATAGTTTCAAAGTGTACTCAATAGCCAGTCCTTGTGTTCGATACCCATACTTCCGCGATCTGTGCACTTGCAGAGGTCTAGGAGTTTGGTAAAACCTGACTCACATCAAGTTTTTGGCGCCGTTGCCGGGGACTGCAGCAGTACCTTTGAATCTCGACTAGGATCTAGTCTAGAACCTTTTTGTTTTGCTTGTTTTTGCTTTTGAATTTTCAGTTTTTGATTTCTTTTATCTTTGGTTTTTGCTTTTGCTTTTGTTTTTCCCTTTTGATTTAGTTTGTTTCCTAGACTCTTTTCAGGTTTAGGTCAAAGGAAAGTCAAGGGGGAAGCAACATTTTTCGGGTTTGACTGTTGACTTCTCAGCTCGATCGAGTTGAAGCTTGGCCGGTCGAGTTGAGGAACTCGACCGGTTGGTCGAGTAGACGGTCGAGCTGGTCTTCAAGATGGCTTCTCCCTTCTTCCTTTGCGTATCCAGTTGAGCTGCGTCCATGTGCCAAGTCCCTCCATGCTCCTCACGTCCCATATGCTCCAGAATGCTCCAAAAGACCTATTTCAAAGGACCAAACATGCATATGTATGCAAATGCAACCTAAAACTACATGAATGCATAAGAAGAGAAAAGGAACAAGATATGATGCAAATGGATGCTAAAACTATGCAAAAGATGCATAAAAGATGTGCTAAAACTATGCAAAATGCAAGTACATCAACACCCCCAAACTTGAACTTTGCTTGCCCTCAAGCAAACAAATAGAACAAGAAAGATGATGAGGTTTGAAAAGCGATTTGCTAAATGTCCAACTTAGAGATTCTAGAATGCAACAAGGTGAGAGATATTCATTAAGATTTAACCATGCTTATCAACATCAATCCCACTTCACAGTCACTCAAACAATGCATTCAAATCAGCAAATCCCTTTAACATTCATTAAGCAAAAACAGTGAACCAAAAACATGCAAGATCAATCAACTCATTTGGTTTCAAGGGTTTATGGGTTAAGAGACAAAGAGGGTCTCTTTTGTATGGTGGTTTAGTAACAGGGATCTCTCAAGAAAGTGGCTTTGCTTTGGCAGAAGGCTAAGTGTTAGAACCAAAGATGATGCAAGAACAGCAGCTCGAGCCGTCTAATCCTAACTCGATCGAGTTCAACACTTAGAGCTTTTTAGAACAAAATCCTAACTACCCTTTTTGGCATTTCGCCTTTGAAACTGAGGAGCTTTGCTCACTTTTCTTTTAAGAACTTCCTAGGGAGAGGCTTCTTGAGGTAACATCTAGCGGTTTGGGATTTTCTAAACACTTAGGGAACTTTTCTTTCCTTTTTGACACTTGAGGCTTTGCCTTCTTTTCATTCTACTTAGAACCCTTTTTACTTCCTTTTTTAACTTCCCAAACCTTTACTAGACCCTTTTTAAACACTGCCAACTCCCTGGACTTAACTAAACTCTTTTTCCTTTGGGTTTTTCCCAACTTTTACCACTTTTCTGGTTTTTACACCCAACTCGATCGAGCTCGAGTTGGCACCCCCAAACTTAGCCTGAAAACAATCCCAAGAGAACTAGACAACTAGAACTACTGCCCCTGCCGGTTTAAACACAACACCTTATGCTAAGCAAAGCCAAGAAAGGTTCTCACATTCGCACAAGAGAAATATGGGGTTTGAAATGAAAAGGCTTAGGTTTAAGGTGTGGTAACTGTCTCAAAGGATAGAGATCAGCTATCTGGACAAGCAAAGGGATATGAAAAGTGTAAAGAATGTCCAGATATGTATGTGGTAGCCATGAGTTGAAATCAAATGCAAGCATTGGTAATTAAAGATCAAGTTATGGTTCAAATAGATAGGGAAATGCATCAAATCACAGCAATGGTTGAATGAGATGTGCATGCAGTGATATGATCAAGATAAACATGGTTCTTGCTGCTCAATCAATCTCACCCTAATGCACAAAAGAATCTAAAAACAGGGCACTCAAGAAATCGCAAAAGATGGACAAGTTTTCAAAGTCAAATCAACAATGCAAGTGAAAAATGCAATCCTAAACAAGTCTAACAAATATGAATGCAAAAAGATGAAAATATTTTTGGATTTTTTGAAAATTTTATGATTTTTTTGGTTTTTCTATGCAAAAGATGAATGAAAAACTAAGAACAAAGAAAACAAGGTTAAATCATCTCTTGAACCCTCCCCCAAACTTAAATCACACAGTCCCTTGTGTGAGAAAAATTTAGTGAAAGATTCAAGAGGGCAAAACCAAGAAAAAAAAAACAAAGCAAGAAAATATGAAATGGTATATACAAGGGTTGGTGTTTGGATACCTCAGTGCCCCCCAAAGAACTGGGAGGCAAGGTCGTGGTCTGGAGATGGTAGACGGCCATCAGGAGCACTCCACTCGACTGGGGTCGCTCACTCGATCGAGCTTGCGGCTCCTCTTCTCCTCTTCTTCATTGAAGTGTGTGGCTCCCTTGGCCTTGGTGGAGCTGGTAGCTCGTACTGTCCATAGGGGTTCCATCTACTCCGGGGAGCTCCTGGTAAGGCGTTGGATCGTATTCAAATCCCGGATCCTCGAACTGGGGCTCCTCCAGGTCAACTCGACCGTCAGCTCGATCGAGTTGAGTTTCCTCTGTTTGGACTCGATCGAGTCCGGTGGTCGAGCTGGAGCGTCTGGCCTTGGAAGTCTTCCTCCTTCTCTGCGAGTTGTCTTCTCCTTCCCTTGGCTCGAAAGAAGAGGCTCTGTGAGGCTCTTGGGCAGGAGCCTCCTTGGAGTGGTGAGGAGTGATCTACTCCTAAGGAATGTGGGGGCTTGGAGCCTTCTTCTTCTTGCTTGAAGAACCAGAAACCTTCTTCTCCAAACTTTTGATCTTGCTCACCATCTTGTCCATGGACTTTTGCATCTTCTCAATGGCTTTCCCTTGCCATTTGTTGAACTTTTGGAGAAGTCCAATCCTCTTGTGGCAGCCACAACAGAGGGGTTCATCCTTGGAGCCTCATACTCCTCAAAGTAATAGCACTCAGGCTCACCCAAATCCGCACTCTCCTGGACTGATCCTCAGCTGAGACTCAGCTCGATCCTCAGCTCGATCGAGCTCAGGCTCCTCTTCTCGCAAATCATCCTCATGCCCAACTAATGTGTACACAGGGGGTCTGAAGTCAATGTTCTCACCCCTTACTACTGTGGTGAGCTCTGGGTTGGGCAGGAGAAGCTTGGAGGGTCCAGCCAATGGATGTGTGAACTTGAATTGGAACCTCCCATCCAACTCCTTGTGCTCAATGAGAAGGTTGGTCTTGCAAAACTTGATGTCCATCCAACCTGGTTCAGTGGCTTCCTATCAGTTGGGTTCACTCCAGCAGCACACAAGATAGGTGTGATGAGCCCTCCAACACTTAGCGCCTTCCTCGTTGATGCTAGTGTTGTAGGCTGTGATCTTGTAGGTGAGGAGATGGTCAAGGAAGGCATCAAGTTCCCTGTGTCAGATCTATCTCCCCTTGATCCTCTTGCCATCCTTGTGCGTGAGAGAATGGGCTTGATTCCCATGTCAAGAAACTTGAGTTCCCCCTCGTTGATTGTCCCGGTGCCTTCCTTGCAAAGAAGGTGTTGGCAAGTGCCTTGTGCACATACCTCAACACTGGGCTCCTGATCTGAGCTGCCTTGGACCTTGAGGAAGAGTACACTCCATCAGCGATTGTAGCCCAAACCCTTTGGAGTTCCTTCTCCTTGAAGTTCCACTTGGTACCTTCTCCATAGTTGAACCCAAACAAGATCTCCAAGCTGCCTAAAGGTCACCATTCTCTTCTCTCCCTTAGCCAAGAACGTGATCCATCCCAATCCTTGGTCCAAATCAGCTCTATCTTCCTCATCTACATGTGGTACCTCATTGAAGCTAAGAACTCGCAAGTGAGCTCCTTGTAGGATTCCATGTGATAAGAGAAAAGCTTGGCCAAGTGCATGTTCTTGAGACCAACTCCACATCCTCAAAGATTCCAAGGGCCTTCATTGTGTCAACATGTGGGTACTTGGTCTCCATGAAGTCCATGGAGAAGAGAGCATTGTAGTGCTCTTGGTACATGGGGAGCTTCTCCTCCTCTTCTCCTCTTGTGGCTCAACCTCCTCCATGGTTCATCTTGGTTACTCTCTTCAATCAACTGATTCACCTCTTCTCCTTCCTCTTCACTCTCAGTCTCATCACTTCCTTCTTCACTTGGAGACCATTTCCCTCCTCTTGAACAAGGTTCACTCCAATCTCAAACTCCCCTTGCTCACTCTCACTACTAATGGGTCATTCCTCTTCTTGGTTCTCCTCTCCTCCCTCAATCTCTCACTCTCAGACTCTCCTCAGAGTACACATATCCTCTGCATCAGATCTTCCATCCTCTGATCATCCTCTCAAATCGGCTTGCATCTTAAGCCTTCTTTCCCTTGCATTGCTTGATTCACCCTCAACCATTCTCCTCTGTGAAGCGCGACTTCCCTCACTGTTTGTCATCTCTGTTACACTGTTTCTTCACTAAAGTACCTGAAATGCATCAAAGATTACAAAGAATTAGAGTTGTAATGATCGGTTTGGTCAACTCGACACTCAGCTCGATCGAGTCAAAAAACTCGAGTGACAAACTCGATCGAGCTAGGTGAAAACAGAGTATAACCGAACCTAATTCAAGTATTAAGAGCTGGAAAGGATGCTAATCAATCAAATTGAACCAAGAACAACTAGTAAATGGAACAATGAGCAATTCTAGTGAAGCATAAGCATCTTAACCAATACCAAACTCAAATTCAATTTTCAAGCACATGCAACAAGTTTTAATGGCAAAACAGAGGTGAGGTGAGGCAAATTCAAAAAAAATATGAGCAGAAAATATGAGCAATTACTCAAGAACAAGTCCCAAGGGACACATGCAATCAAAAATCAAAGAGGAAACAAGCAATAATGGAAATCGAGATGGAGGAATCAAGGGTTTAGGGTTCATACCTTGTTGAATGATGAATTGAAGAGCAGTAAACTAAAACCCAAAGCAAAACAATGAAGAACAAGAGAAATCGCAAAAACTTAAGAGAGAAAGAGAGAATTCGAAATTTTTCTTGTGGTGATGAGAGAGAGAGATGAGTTTCAGAAATTTTAAGTGTGGGAGAGTGGAGAAGTGGGTTCGATCGAGTTATGGGGAAGAGGGAGTGTTTGAGATGTGTGGTTGAGATTAAAAGATGAAATAAAGAGGGGAACAAAAGCTAGGGTTTTCTGATCAATTAGGGTAGTGGGGGACCAAAATCAACTTGTGGGACCCACTCCCTTGACCAAGAAAACGGTTAGAATTTGAAATTCAAAAACTTACCTCGGTCGAGTTGTGGAACTCGATCGAGTTGCCCTGGTTTCTAGCTCGATCGAGCTGTCGGTCGAGCTGGCTCCTTTGTCACCTAAACTTAACTTATTGAAAGGTTAAAACACAAAATAGATAGAAATTGCATAAATAGAATATGTACAAGGATAAACATGGGACTTCCTCCCAAGTGAGCTTGTTTAAGGTCCCATAGCTTGACCTTTACCTTCTTAGGCATTGGTTGAGCTAGTCCCACCATCAAGGGTGATAGTGAGGACTTGAGACAGAAGCTCCTTTAGCTTGGTTGGGTCCCTGGACTGTTCTGAAGTCACCAAGGCCTTGGCTCTAGAGAATGGCCTTGATCTCCCCTTGTACCTTATCTTGTACTCAATCTTCCCATTTTCAAACTTGGTGGGGAACAAAGTCATTGTGAGCTGAGATGGCTTGACTGAAGGGGCCTGAGCTGGTGGATCCTTTCTTTTATCACCTGGTCTTGCCTTAGAGGCTACATCCTCCCCTTCTTTTAGAGCCCTTCCTAGTGGCTCATCAAACAAAGCTTGAAGGCTCTCTTCATCAAGCACACAAGGGGCTTGAACAAGTCTATCAGCTCGTGGTCTATCAGAACGTGGTTTCTCAACTCTAGCCCTCTCAAGACGTGGCTTCTCAATCCTTGGTCCTCTCTCATCCTTATCCTTCCCAACTCTTGGTTCTTTGTCAACCCTTTCCTTCACAACCTTTGTAGCTCCATGACTCTTAGAACTGAGAGTGGTACTGTCAATTGTGGCACAAAAGTCTGAACCTCTAGGCTGCAAGCGATATGACACCAAACTATTCACCTTGTGAAGGATCACTTCTTGCTTGTGAAAGTCTATTGAAGCGCCAACTGTACTAAGGAAAGGGGTTCCCAATAACAGAGGTAATCCTTCTCTTCTTCCATTTCCATCACAGTGAGATCAGTTTGGATGATGCATTCTCCAATTTTCAAGTGATAGTTCTTGAACACTCCAAGAGGAGACTTAGAAGTTGCATCTCCAAACATGATTGAAGTAGTAGGGCGCTGCAAGGCTCCAGCAATGCCTAGCTTCTCTGCCATGGAGAGAGAGATCAGATTGATGCTTGCTCCAGAATCCACTAAGGCATTGTCAATCTCAAGATGCCCAAGTGTGCAAGGGAGAGTGAATTTCCCTTGATCCTTGACCTTTGGTAGGAAGGTGGGTGAAGTAAGCAGGTTGAACTGATGAGTAGACTCTTGTAGGACCTCTGAAACTTTATCACTGTTGGCTAGAACATCCTTGACCATTTGCATTTGATCAAATGCCTCACTCATGCTATCCATAGGAGGCAACTCAATTCCAATCCCACTGAGATCTCTTCTGAACTTGTGAATCACTTCCTTGTGACCTTGACTAAGTAGGCGAGACGAGGAAGCGGCAACCGGTTGGTAAGGATCAAGCAAAAGGCTTTGGGACAGAAGAGGTCGGACTCGATCGAGCTAGAGTTGGACTCGATCGAGCTGCCGATCGAGCTTGTTGTGCGAGCTCAACTGGTGAAGTGTGAATGGCCACAGTAGGTGCCTGCACTTCTGGTTGATCAATCTGGACTCCAGGAGCCTCAGCAGCAACAATCTCTTCATCATTCAGCAGTAAACAAAAATCTTCAATGACCCTTTCTTGATCCTCTTCTTCAACAAGTCCTTCTTGAGTGAAGATGACCTTGCACTGTTCCTTGGGGTTCTGAATAGCTTTACCAGGTAGTTGTCCTTGCTTTGTAGCAGCAGCAACAGAAGAAGCATGATTCTCCAGAGAGTAAACCCTTGTGTTGAGGTTCTCGATCTTAGAGTTTATTTCAGCTAGCTTCTTGCTTGTGTCCACTACCCCATCAGCTTGCCCTTGAAGTAGTTGCTTTAGCATTGCCTTGAGCTCATTCTCTTGTGAAGGTGCAGGCTGGGGCGGTTGGTGGGGAAGCCTGGTGGGATATTCATTTGTTGTCCAGGGAAAGTGCCTTGTGGTCCTTGGTAATTGTTCTTTTGACCATACCCATGTTGTGGCACCTGACTCGATCGAGCTGCTTGTTGTTGAGGATATACTTGGTCCTGAGGGTTAGCAACATCAGTGTTGCGGTATGACATGGCAGGGTTGGACTTGTAATTATAGTATCCTTTGTTGTAACCTCCTTGCCCATTGCTCATGTAGCACACCTCAGCAAATTGTGTATCCTCCCCTTCTTGGACTGGTTCCATCTCCTCAGCAGACACAAAGTTGACTTTCTTCATTGTGGACTGAGCTAGGATCAGCTTATCCAACTTCTCATTCAATGCCTTAACATCTTTTCTCAACTTTTCGTCTGACTCGATCGAGTGGTGGGTCGAGCTCCGGTTGGTGCGATCATACTCTTCTCCATAGCTTCCATTTGAGTTAGCTATGTTCTCCACAAGTTGCCAGCCATCATCTACATCCTGGTTGAGGAAGTTCCCATTGCTAGCTGTGTCTAGCATCTCCCTATACCTAGGCAAGCATCCTCTATAAAGAGTGGAGAGTAGTGATTCATTGTTGAATCCATGGTGTGGGCACTGACTTGTGTAGCCTTTGAACCTCTCCCAAGCCTCTGCGAATGTCTCATTGTTTCGCTGGATGAAGCTGGATATCTCTCCTCTAAGCTTGGCTGTGCGACCGGTGGAGAAAAACTTAGCAAGAAAGGCCTTCTTGCATTCATCCCAAGTGGTGATTGTGCCATGGGGCAAGCTCTTCTCCCATTGGTGAGCTTTGTCAGCTAGAGACATAGGAAAGAGTCTCAGCTTGATGGCATCTTCAGAGACACCATTGATCTTTGTCAAATCACAAAGCCTATCAAACTCATCAAGGTGGTCAATGGGGTCTTCACTTGGCAATCCATGGAACATCTTGTTCTGACAAGGTTGATCATTCCCAGCTTGATCTCAAAGTTGTGGTTCTGCACTGGTGGTGGAACAATCCCTTGTCTCTGTTGGTGGCGGTTTGGAGCATCTCCTTGACCAATCGGTCGAGTTTGCCTAGCTCGACCGAGTCCATTGCCCAAAGGGTTTCCATTCCCCTCTGGTACATCCATTGTATCAGCAACAAGCACCTCAGGTTCCTCTTGTACCCTCTGTGACCTCTGAACCCTCTTTCTACCCGTTGTAAGTCTAGCTCGACCAAGTCTTCTGTAGACCGACTCGATCGAGTTCGCATACACCTGCAAAAAGAGACAAAAACCCAGCAGTACAATAGAACAGGGGTGGTATAGCTTGATCGTCCAAGTGTGTTTGAAACTCAAATGCAACAAAAATATTCCCAAATCGGCAACGGCGCCAAATTGATGATAGGATTTGTGTGTGGATGTGAAATGATATGAAATGAGATGTGTGGAATGCAACAGTGGTATATGATGAGGTGGTAAGATGCAAACACAAACACAGTCAACAATTCCCTTTAACCATCATAGTTGAAGTACAAGAGGTTATCAATCCAAAATGGGAAACTTGTCACTCTATGAGAATATGAAACAACCAGGAAGTCAAGCAAGCAGTATAGATTTGAAGTAACACTAACAACCTAAATGAACAGAAATGAAATGCAGAAAGTAAATAAAGCAGTAGAGCAATAGCTTTTTAAAGTCTAGGGGAGGTGATATACCTCTATTTTACATGCTTTTTATACTAATTTAGTATGGTTTTCTAATGGTTTTTGGCAGGTTTTCTATCTAAAAAGGTAATTTTATTGGATTTATATTACTTAAGAGTCTAAACAGGTGAAATGATGCATTTTGAAGCAAAACCATAGGATTGGCGCTTCAAGCCGCTCAATACCGAAGCATCAACTTTGAGAAGACCCAGAAAACGATCTACTCAATAGATTTCATCAAGACCAGTTCCCTGCGTGCTCTGAGTGAGTTAACTCTCGAACGCAATTGGATTGGCATCATTTGGATGAGTAGAAATGAAGTTATGATCAAATTAGTGAAGCCTGGTCTAGACGGCCTTATCGAGCATTCGCGTCCTGAACCGCGCACACCGGCTGATCGAGCAACGAACGTACCGCGATCGTCCCGCGCACAACATCCGCGCCATCCCGCCAAGTGCACGGCTGAGCTCACGTACCGATCCGGAAAGCATCGTCCCGCGGTCGAGCCGTTTCAGCCTCACCACCATAATCCGCGCACGACCGCGCAGCGCGAACCAGGAAGCACTGTCTTGCGGCCGCACTGCACACATCACGTCCCGCGGCCGATCCATCCGTCCGACCAGGAAGGCTTCGTCCCCCGACCGGTCCAGAAGCTTCGGCCAAATCATCCATCCGTCCGACCCCGTCGGCCAAACGCGAAAACTCTCGGCCACGATCGTCCCGACCGTGTCGATAGCCTGACCACGACCCGATAGCCGGCCGATCGTCCCGACCGACCGTCGGAACGGTCCGGTCGACCCGAAACCCGTTTTGAAGCCCGTTTTCACGGCCCGACTTAACCTAATGCCGCCTCAGAAGACCTAGCACTATAAATACAACATTTTAGCCTCCTGAGAGATTGCCGCTTTTGTATCACGTTTTTCATACTTAAAGATTTATTCAATCATGTTTTCTTCATCTTAATGTGTTATTGCTTTGATCATGTCTGAGTAATCCACTAGTTAGGTTGCTAGGGTTACTATTCAATGAGTTGCTTGCATGATCTTTGATTTCGATGTTTAGCTAGGGATTATCTTAGAGTCTTTGTCTCGTCTTGTTCACCTAACTAATGCTGATTGCTTTACCGCGCATCTAGTAATCCGATCTTAGGTTGACTTGATGAGCCACTAGGAAGAGCTCTAAAAGAAGGGGAGGACGTAGCCTCTAAGGCAAGACCAGGTGATAAAATAAAGGACCCACCAGCTCAAGCCCCTTCAGTCAAGCCATCTCAGCTCACTATGACCTTGTTCCCCACCAAGTACGAAGATGGGAAGATGATGTACTTGCATTTTACATAGTTTTAGCACATCTTTTATGCACCTTTTGCATAGTTTTAGCTTCCATTTGTATCATATCTTGTTCCTTTTCTCTTCTTATGCATTCATGTTAGTTTTAGGTTGCATTTGCATACATATGCATGTTTGGCCCTTTGAAATAGGTCTTTTGGAGCATTCTGGAGCATATTGGACATGAGGAGCATGGAGGGACTTGGCGCATGGAAGCAGCTCAACTGGACACGCAAAGGAAGAAGGGAGAAGCCATCTTGAAGACCAGCTCGACCGTCCACTCGACCAACCGGTCGAGTTCCTCAACTCGACCGGCCAAGCTTCAACTCGATCGAGCTGGGGAGTCAAAGTCAAACCCGAAAAATGTTGCTTCCCCCTTGACTTCCCTTTGACCCTAAACCTAAAACCTCTTGTATTTAAAGGCTCTAAGCCACGAAAAAACGATGAAGCTTTAGATTATCTTTGTTTTAGCTTTTCTTTATTTTATTGTCTTTTTTACTTTTTAGCAACCCTAATCCAATCTTTGTGTTCTTGAAGCTCTTGCTTCTTGAATCTTAGATCTTGGATTATTTGCTTTGTATTTGCACTTGCTTATTTCAATAAAAGTTCTTTAATTTCTTCTCCTCTTTCTTATGATGTCTATTTCATTGCATTTGCTTGTGTTTCATATTCTCATAGAGTGACAAGTTTCCCATTTTGGATTGATAACCCTTTGTACTACATGACTATGATGGTTAAAGGGAATTGTTGACTGTGTTTGTGTTTGCATCTTACCACCATCATTTACCACTGATTGCATTCCACTCATCTCATTTCATTCTTTTCACATCCACACACAAATCCTATCATCAATTTGGCGCCGTTGCCGATTTGGGAATATTTTTGTTGCATTTGAGTTTCAAACACACTTGGACGATCAAGCTATACCACCCCTGTTCTATTGTACTGCTGGGTTTTTGTCTCTTTTTGCAGGTGTATGCGAACTCGATCGAGTCGGTCAACTGAAGACTTGGTCGAGCTAGACATTACAACGGGTAGAAAGAGGGTTCAGAGGTCACAGAGGGTACAAGAGGAACCTGAGGTGCTTGTTGCTGATACAATGGATGTACCAGAGGGGAATGGAAACCCTTTGGGACATGGACTCGGTCGAGCTAGGCAAACTCGACCGATTGGTCAAGGAGATGCTCCAAACCGCCACCAACAGAGACAAGGGATTGTTCCACCACCAGTGCAGAACCACAACTTTGAGATCAAGCTGGGAATGATCAACCTTGTCCAGAACAAGATGTTCCATGGATTGCCAAGTGAAGACCCCATTGACCACCTTGATGAGTTTGATAGGCTTTGTGATTTGACAAAGATCAATGGTGTCTCTGAAGATGCCATCAAGCTGAGACTCTTTCCTATGTCTCTAGCTGACAAAGCTCACCAATGGGAGAAGAGCTTGCCCCATGGCACAATCACCACTTGGGATGAATGCAAGAAGGCCTTTCTTGCTAAATTTTTCTCCACCGGTCGCACAGCCAAGCTTAGAGGAGAGATATCCAGCTTCATCCAGCGAAACAATGAGACATTCGCAGAGGCTTGGGAGAGGTTCAAAGGCTACACAAGTCAGTGCCCACACCATGGATTCAACAATGAATCACTACTCTCCACTCTTTATAGAGGATGCTTGCCTAGGTATAGGGAGATGCTAGACACAGCTAGCAATGGGAACTTCCTCAACCAGGATGTAGATGATGGCTGGCAACTTGTGGAGAACATAGCTAACTCAAATGGAAGCTATGGAGAAGAGTATGATCGCACCAACCGGAGCTCGACCCACCACTCGATCGAGTCAGACGAAAAGTTGAGAAAAGATGTTAAGGCATTGAATGAGAAGTTGGATAAGCTGATCCTAGCTCAGTCCACAATGAAGAAAGTCAACTTTGTGTCTGCTGAGGAGATGGAACCAGTCCAAGAAGGGGAGGATACACAATTTGCTGAGGTATGCTACATGAGCAATGGGCAAGGAGGTTACAACAAAGGATACTATAACTACAAGTCCAACCCTGCCATGTCATACCGCAACACTGATGTTGCTAACCCTCAGGACCAAGTCTATCCTCAACAACAAGCAGCTCGATCGAGTCAAGGACACAACATGGGTATGGTCAAAAGAACAATTACCAAGGACCACAAGGCACTTTCCCTGGACAACAAATGAATATCCCACCAGGCTTCCCCCACCAACCGCCCCAGCCTGCACCTTCACAAGAGAATGAGCTCAAGGCAATGCTAAAGCAACTACTTCAAGGGCAAGCTGATGGGGTAGTGGACACAAGCAAGAAGCTAGCTGAAATAAACTCTAAGATCGAGAACCTCAACACAAGGGTTTACTCTCTGGAGAATCATGCTTCTTCTGTTGCTGCTGCTACAAAGCAAGGACAACTACCTGGTAAAGCTATTCAGAACCCCAAGGAACAGTGCAAGGTCATCTTCACTCAAGAAGGACTTGTTGAAGAAGAGGATCAAGAAAGGGTCATTGAAGATTTTTGTTTACTGCTGAATGATGAAGAGATTGTTGCTGCTGAGGCTCCTGGAGTCCAGATTGATCAACCAGAAGTGCATGCACCTACTGTGGCCATTCACACTTCACCAGTTGAGCTCGCACGACAAGCTCGATCGGCAGCTCGATCGAGTCCAACTCTAGCTCGATCGAGTCCGACCTCTTCTGTCCGACAGCCTGTTTTGCTTGATCCTTATCAACCGGTTGCCGCTTCCTCGTCTCGCCTACTTAGTCAAGGTCACAAGGAAGTGATTCACAAGTTCAGAAGAGATCTCAGTGGGATTGGAATTGAGTTGCCTCTATGGATAGCATGAGTGAGGCATTTGATCAAATGCAAATGGTCAAGGATGTTCTGCCAACAGTGATAAAGTTTCAGAGGTCCTACAAGAGTCTACTCATCAGTTCAACCTGCTTACTTCACCCACCTTCCTACCAAAGGTCAAGGATCAAGGGAAATTCACTCTCCCTTGCACACTTGGGCATCTTGAGATTGACAATGCCTTAGTGGATTCTGGAGCAAGCATCAATCTGATCTCTCTCTCCATGGCAGAGAAGCTAGGCATAGCTGGAGCCTTGCAGCGCCCTACTACTTCAATCATGTTTGGAGATGCAACTTCTAAGTCTCCTCTTGGAGTGTTCAAGAACTATCACTTGAAAATTGGAGAATGCATCATCCAAACTGATCTCACTGTGATGGAAATGGAAGAAGAGAAGGATTTGCCTTTGCTATTGGGAACCCCTTTCCTTAGTACAGTTGGCGCTTCAATTGACTTTCACAAGCAAGAAGTGATCCTTCACAAGGTGAATAGTTTGGTGTCATATCGCTTGCAGCCTAGAGGTTCAGACTTTTGTGCCACAATTGACAGTACCAATCTCAGTTCTAAGAGTCATGGAGCTACAAAGGTTGTGAAGGAAAGGGTTGACAAGGAACCAAGAGTTGGGAAGGATAAGGATGAGAGAGGACCAAGGATTGAGAAGCCACGTCTTGAGAGGGCTAGAGTTGAGAAACCACGATCTGATAGGCCAAGAGCTGAGCGACTTGTTCAAGCCCCTTGTGTGCTTGATGAAGAGAGCCTTCAAGCTTTGTTTGATGAGCCACTAGGAAGGGCTCTACAAGAAGGGGAGGATGCAGCCTCTAAGGCAAGACCAGGAGATAAAAGAAAGGATCCACCAGCTCAGGCCCCTTCAGTCAAGCCATCTCAGCTCACAATGACTTTGTTCCCCACCAAGTTTGAAAATGGGAAGATTGAGTACAAGATAAGGTACAAGGGGAGATCAAGGCCATTCTCTAGAGCCAAGGCCTTGGTGACTTCAGAACAGTCCAGGGACCCAACCAAGCTAAAGGAGCTTCTGTCTCAAGTCCTCACTATCACCCTTGATGGTGGGACTAGCTCAACCAATGCCTAAGAAGGTAAAGGTCAAGCTATGGGACCTTAAACAAGCTCACTTGGGAGGAAGTCCCATGTTTATCCTTGTACATACTCTATTTATGCAATTTCTATCTATCTTTATGTTTTTAACCTTTCAATAAGTTAAGTTTAGGTGTCAAGGAGCCAGCTCGACCACAGCTCGATCGAGCTAGAAACCAGGGCAACTCGATCGAGTTCCTCAACTCGACCAAGGTAAGTTTTTGAATTTCAAATTCATAACCGTTTTTTGGTCAAGGGAGTGGGTCCCACAAGCTGATTTTGGTCCCCCACTACCCTAATTCGATCAGAGAATCCCTAGTTTCTTGTTCCCTCTTTATCATCTTTTAATCTCAACCACACATCTCAAACAACTCTCTTCCCCATAACTCGATCGAACCCACTTCCTCTCTCCCACACTCTAAATTTCTGAAACTCCTCCATCTCTCTCTTCACCACAAGAAATCGAATTTCAATCTTTCTCTCTAGTTTTTGCGATTTCATTGTTCACTTCTTGTTTTGCTTAGTTTTAGTTTACTGCTCTTCAATTCCATCATTCAACAAGGTATGAACCCTAAAACCCTTCATCCTCCATCTCGATTTCCTTTTGCTTGTTTTCTCTTGATTTTGATTGCATGTGTCCCTTGTGGACTTGTTATTGAGAATTTGCTTTCATATTTCGCCTCTGCCATATAACTTGTTAGTTTTGCTTCACCTCACCTCTGTTTTGCCTTTAAACTTGTTGCATGTGATTGAAATTGAATTTGAGTTTGGTAATGGTTAGGTTGCTATGTTTTCACTAGAATTGCTTATTGTTCCATTTACTAGTTGTTCTTGGTTCAATTTGATTGATTAGCATCCTTTCCAGCTCTTAATACATGAATTAGGTTTGGTTATACTCTGTTTTCACCAACTCGATCGAGTTTGTCACTCGAGTTTTTTGACTCGATCGAGCTGAGTGTCGAGTTGACCAAACCGATCATTACAACTCTAATTTTTGAACTTTTGATGCATTTCAGGACCAATCTAAGATGTTGAGAGGTGAAGGAAGCAAGCAGCGTTCACAAGGAGGGAGATGATAAGAGGAGCAAGGAGGATACTCAAAACACAAACCAAGGAGGACATAGAAGAGGTTGAGAGGGTGAGGGAAGAAAGGAGAACCAAAAGAAGGAATGATCCTCTCAGCAGTGAGAGCGAAGCAGGAGAGTTTGAAATTGGGTGAACATCCCACATGAGGAGAATGATGACTCCCCAAGTGAAGAAGAGGGTGAAGAGATCAATCAAGAGATTGAGGAGAGTGAGCATGAGGGCAATGAGAATGTGCCCATGGAAGAGGAGGAGTCAAGTGAAGAAGAGGATGAGCTCCCCATGTACCAAGAGCACTATGATGCTCTTTTCTCCATGGACTTCATGGACACCAAGTACCCACATGTTGACACCATGAAGGCCCTTGGAATCTTTGAAGATGTGGAGTTGGTCCTCAAGAACATGCACTTGGCCAAGCTCTTCTCCTACCACATGGAATCCTACAAGGAGCTCACTTGCGAGTTCCTAGCTTCAATGAGGTACCACATGTATGAGGAAGAAGATAGAGCTGATTTGGACCAAGGATTGGGATGGATCACGTTCTTGGCTAAGGGAGAGAAGAGAATGGTGACCTTTAGGCAGCTGGAGATCTTGTTTGGGTTCAACTATGGAGAGGGAACCAAGTGGAACTTCAAGGAAAAGGAACTCCAAAGGGTTTGGGCTACAATCGCTGATGGAGTGTACTCTTCCTCAAGGTCCAAGGCAGCTCAGATCAGGAGCCCAGTCTTGAGATATGTGCACAAGGCACTTGCCAACACCTTCTTTGCAAGGAAGGCAACCGGGACAATCAACGAGGGGGAACTCAAGTTTCTTGACATGGGAATCAAGCCCTTCTCTCACGCACAAGCGATGGCAAGAGGATAAGGGGAGATAGGTCTGACACAGGGAACTTGATGCCTTTCCTTGACCACCTCCTCACCTACAAGATCACGCTTACAACACTAGGCACCAAAGAGGAAGAAAGCTTAGTATTGGAGGGCTCATCACACCTATCTTGTGTGCTGCTGGAGTAAACCCAACTGATAGGAGAGCTACTGAACCAGGTTGGATGGACATCAAGTTTGCAAGACCAACCTCCTCATTGAGCACAAGGAGTTAGATGGGAGGTTCCAATTCAAGTTCACACATCCATTGGTGGACCCTCCAAGCTTCTCCTGCCTAACCCAGAGCTCACCACAGTTGTAAGGGGTGAGAACATTGACTTCAGACCCCCTGTGTACACATTAGTTGGGCATGAGGATGATTGCGAGAAGAGGAGCCTGAGCTCGATCGAGCTGAGTCGAGCTGAGGGTCGAGCTGAGGATCGAGCTGAATATCAGGTCCAGGGGAGCGCTGACTTGGGTGAGCCTGAGTGCTACTACTTTGAGGAGTATGAGGCTCCAAGGATGAACCCCTCTGTTGTGGCTGCTCACAAGAGGATTGGACTTCTCCAAAAGTTCAACAAATGGCAAGGGAAAGCCATTGAGAAGATGCAAAAGTCCATGGACAAGATGGTGAGCAAGATCAAAAGTTTGGAGAAGAAGGTTTCTGGTTCTTCAAGCAAGAAGAAGTCCAAGGCCCCCACATTCCCTAGGAGTAGGTCACTCCTCACCACCCAAAGAAGGCTCCCTGCCCAAGAGCCTCACAGAGCCTCTTCTTTCGAGCCAAGAGAAGGAGAGGACAACACGCAGAGAAGGAGGAAGAGTTCTAAGGCCAGACGCTCCAGCTCGACCACCGGACTCGATCGAGTCCAATCAGAGGAAACTCAACTCGATCGAGCTGACGGTCGAGTTGACCTGGAGGAGCCTGTTTGAGAACCCTGGGATTCGAGTACGATTCAACCCAGTACCAGGACTTCTCTCAGACCCTGGACTCCCTACAACCGCTTCGAGCGAGCACAACTCCACCAAGGCCAAGGAAGCCACACCCACTTTGAAGATGAAGAAGAAGAGGAGGAGGAGCCACAAGCTCGATCGAGTGAGCCGAACCCAGTTGAGTGGAGTGCTCCTGATGGCCGTCTCCCATCTCCAGACCACGACCTAGCCTCCCAGTTCTTTGGGGGGCACTGAGGTATCCAAACACCAACCCTTGTATATACCATTTCATATTTTCTTGTTTTGTTCTTGTTTTTTCTTGGTTTTGCCCTCTTGAATCTTTCACTAAATTTTTCTCACACAAGGGACTGTGTGATTTAAGTTTGGGGGAGGGTTCAAGAGATGATTTAACCTTGTTTTCTTTGTTCTTAGTTTTTCATTTATCTTTTGCATAGAAAAACCAAAAAAATCATAAAATTTTCAAAAAATCCAAAAATATTTTCATCTTTTTGCATTCATATTTGTTAGACTTGTTTAGGATTGCATTTTTCACTTGCATTGTTGATTTGACTTTGAAAACTTGTCCATCTTTTGCGATTTCTTGAGTGCCCTGTTTTTAGATTCTTTTGTGCATTAGGGTGAGATTGATTGAGCAACAAGAACCATGTTTATCTTGATCATATCACTGCATGCACATCTCATTCAACCATTGCTGTGATTTGATGCATTTCCCTATCTATTTGAACCATAACTTGATCTTTAATTACCAATGCTTGCATTTGATTTCAACTCATGGCTACCACATACATATCTGGACATTCTTTATCACTTTTCATATCCCTTTGCTTGTCCAGATAGCTGATCTCTATCTTTGAGACAGTTACCACACCTTAAACCTAAGCCTTTTCATTTCAAACCCCTTATTATCTCTTGTGCGAATGTGAGAACCTTTCTTGGCTTTGCTTAGCATAAGGTGTTGTGTTTAAACCGGCAGGGGCAGTAGTTCTAGTTGTCTAGTTCTCTTGGGATTGTTTTCAGGCTAAGTTTGGGGGTGCCAACTCGAGCTCGATCGAGTTGGGTGTAAAAACCAGAAAAGTGGTAAAAATTGGGAAAAACCCAAAGGAAAAAGAGTTTGGTTAAGTCCAGGGAGTTGGCAGTGTTTAAAAGGGTCTAGTAAAGGTTTGGGAAGTTAAAAAAGGAAGTAAAAAGGGTTCTAAGTAGAATGAAAAGAAGGCAAAGCCTCAAGTGTCAAAAAGGAAAGAAAAGTTCCCTAAGTGTTTAGAAAATCCCAAACCGCTAGATGTTACCTCAAGAAGCCTCTCCCTAGGAAGTTCTTAAAAGAAAAGTGAGCAAAGCTCCTCAGTTTCAAAGGCGAAATGCCAAAAAGGGTAGTTAGGATTTTGTTCTAAAAAGCTCTAAGTGTTGAACTCGATCGAGTTAGGATTAGGCGGCTCGAGCTGCTGTTCTTGCATCATCTTTGGTTCTAACACTTAGCCTTCTGCCAAAGCAAAGCCACTTTCTTGAGAGATCCCTGTTACTAAACCACCATACAAAAGAGACCCTCTTTGTCTCTTAACCCATAAACCCTTGAAACCAAATGAGTTGATTGATCTTGCATGTTTTTGGTTCACTGTTTTTGCTTAATGAATGTTAAAGGGATTTGCTGATTTGAATGCATTGTTTGAGTGACTGTGAAGTGGGATTGATGTTGATAAGCATGGTTAAATCTTAATGAATATCTCTCACCTTGTTGCATTCTAGAATCTCTAAGTTGGACATTTAGCAAATCGCTTTTGAGGACATGTTTTTAAGTGTTGAATCAGCTTTTTCAAACCTCATCTCTTTCTTGTTCTATTTGTTTGCTTGAGGGCAAGCAAAGTTCAAGTTTGGGGGTGTTGATGTACTTGCATTTTACATAGTTTTAGCACATCTTTTATGCATCTTTTGCATAGTTTTAGCTTCCATTTGCATCATATCTTGTTCCTTTTCTCTTCTTATGCATTCATGTTAGTTTTAGGTTGCATTTGCATACATATGCATGTTTGGTCCTTTGAAATAGGTCTTTTGGAGCATTCTGGAGCATATGGGACATGAGGAGCATGGAGGGACTTGGCACATGGAAGCAGCTCAACTGGACACGCAAAGGAAGAAGGGAGAAGCCATCTTGAAGACCAGCTCGACCGTCTACTCGACCAACCGGTCGAGTTCCTCAACTCGACCGGCCAAGCTTCAACTCGATCGAGCTGGAAGTCAAAGTCAAACCCGAAAAATGTTGCTTCCCCCTTGACTTTCCTTTGACCCTAAACCTAAATCCTCTTGTATTTAAAGGCTCTAAAAGCCACGAAAAAACCACCAAGCTTTAGATTACTTTTGTTTTAGCTTTCTTTAATTTATTGTCTTTACTTTTTAGAACTCTAATCCATCTTTGTGTTCTTGAAGCTCTTGCTTCTTGAATCTTAGATCCTGGATTAATCTTCTTTGTATTTGCACTTGCTTATTTCAATAAAAGTTGTTTAATTTCATCTCCTCTTTCTTATGATGTCTCTTTTATTGCATTTGCTTGTGTTTACATTCATGTGTAGTGAGTAGTTACCCATTAGGGTTTGAGATGGGATAGATTAGAGGTTTCATATGCTTAATCCTTCTAGCTTATGGTCTTAATCTAGATTCTCTCTCTTTTGGATAGATCTTAAGGCTACATGACCACTACCCCTGGCTTGTAAGTCCTTAGGCGACTCCCCACACGAAAGTGATGGCATTCGCTGGAAAAGATCCACTAAGAGCTCCAATATCTCTTGCTCTAGACAATAGAGGTCTAAGGGGTTGGATGGATTAGTTTGGGCAATGATCCTATGGCCTCCAAGGTTTGATTCTCACTGGCTAACCCCCTGTTTCTGAGATCATTCCTTGGTTGATAGCCTCCACCTTGGGAAAGGGTTGGCTAGGCATTGAGAAGCCCAATATCAAGAGAAGCCTTGATACAAGGAGTTTTAAGAGCTAGATTGATTAAGTGTAGATTCCTTTGATTGCAAAACCCTGTCTTGAACCCTAATTCTCTCTTTATCTTGTTAAAGTCGTCACCTTTACTTTTTTTCTCAACTCGACCCTAAACTCGATCGAGCTGGTACTCTGTCCACTCGACTCGAGTCTTGGTCGAGCTGACTTCACTGCTTTGTTTACTTTTATTGCACTGCATTTTCATTTTTAGGTTGTTAGTGTTACTTCAAATCCTATACTGCTTGCTTGACTTCCTGGTTGTTTCATATTCTCATAGAGTGACAAGTTTCCCATTTTGGATTGATAACCCTTTGTACTACATCACTATCATGGTTAAAGGGAATTGTTGACTGTGTTTGTGTTTGCATCTTACCACCATCATTTACCACTGTTGCATTCCACTCATCTCATTTCATATCTTTTCACATCCACACACAAATCAATCCTATCATCAGAAGATTGAGTACAAGATAAGGTACAAGGGGAGATCAAGACCATTCTCTAGAGCTAAGGCCTTGGTCACTTCAGAGCAATCCAGGGATCCAACCAAGCTAAAGGAGCTTATGTCTCAAGTCCTCACTATCACCCTTGATGGTGGGACTAGCTCAACTAGTGCCTAAAAGGTAAAGGTCAGGCTATGGGACCTTAAAAAGAGTTTACTCTCTAGAGAATCATGCTTCTTCTGTTGCTGCTGCTACAAAGCAAGGAAAACTACCTGGTAAAGCTATTCAGAACCCCAAGGAACAATGCAAGGTCATCTTAACTCAAGGAGGTCTTGATGAAGAAGAGGATCAAGAGAGAGTCATGGAAGAGTTTTGCTTACTGCTGAATGATGATGAGATTGTTGCTGCTGAGGCTTGAAAGGTCCCATGAAGTCTATTCCCCATACATCAAAGATCTCAACTTCCAGAATCGGGTTCAGTGGCATTTCATCTCTCTTGGTGATACTTCCCTTCCTTTGGCATGGATCACACTTTGCGATGAAGCTTGCTGCATCTTTAAACAAGGTAGGCCACCACAACCCAGATTGCAGAACCTTGGTTGCTGTTTTGAATGTAGCAAAGTGACCTCCCTAATCCTCTTTGTATTTAAGGACTAAAAGCCACGAAAAAACCACCAAGCTTTAGATTACTTTTGTTTTAGTTTCTTTTAATTATTGTCTTTTACTTTTTAGAGCTCTAATCCCATCTTTGTGTTCTTGAAGCTCTTGCTTCTTGAATCCTAGATCCTGGATAATCTCTTTTGTATTTGCACTTGCTTATTTCAATAAAAGTTGTTTATTTTCATCTCCTCTTTCTTATGATGTCTCTTTTATTGCATTTGCTTGTGTTTACATTCATGTGTAGTGAGTAGTTTCCCATTAGGGTCAAAGATGGGATAGATTAGGGGATTTCTATGCTTAATCCTTCTTGCTTATGCTTAATCTAGATCTCTCTCTTTTGGATAAACTTAAGGCTACATGACCACTATCCCTGGCTTGTATGTCTATTAGGCGATTCTCCACATGGAAGTGATGGAAATCGTTGGAAAGTCCACTAAGAGCTCCAATATCTCTTGCTCTAGAAATGGAGGTCTAAGGGGTTGGATGGATTAGTTTGAGCAATGATCCTATGGCCTCCAAGGCTTGATTCTCACTGGCTAACCCCCTGTTTCTGAGATCAAGTCTTGGTTGATAGCTTTCACCTTGGGAAAGGGTTAGCTAGGCATTGAGAAGCTCAATATCAAGAGATACCTTGATACAAGTTGTTTGAGAGCAAGATCGATTAAGTATAGCTTCCTCTGATTGTAAACCCTGTCTTAGACCCTAATTCTCGTTTAGCTTGTTAAAGTCGCTCCTTTATTGCTTTTTACTTCAACTCGACCCTAAACTCGATCGAGCTCGGTACTCTGTTCCCACTCGACTCGAGTCCTTGGTCGAGCTGTTGCTCTACTGCTTTATTTACTTACTGCATTTCATTTCTGTTCATTTAGGTTGTTAGTGTTACCCCATATCTATTACTGCTTGCTTGACTTCCTTGTGATTTCATATTCTCATAGAGTGACAACTTCTCCCATTTTGGATTGATACCCTTATGCTATAACACTATCATGGTTAAAGGGAATTGTTGACTGTGTTTGTGTTTGCATCTTACCACCTCATCATATACCACTGTTGCATTCCACCACATCTCATTTCATATCATTTCACACCACACACAAATCCTATCATCATGCGCCCAATCTAGAGCTGGTCCAGCTAAAGACATGCTGAATAGCATCATCTTCTTCTCAAAGTCAAAAACTCCATAGGAATCACAAAGATTCTCAAAGTGATCTATGTGCTCCAGTGCATACTCTGAAAACAGATCATGGAATTGATCTCTCTTCACGAACTCGATCAGCTCAGGGTCAATCTCCTCTTCTGGTGTGGCTAGAAGGTGTTCTTCTCTGTAAGATGCGGCTTGGCTAGACGTCTCCAGGTCGGCTGCTTCAAGGTAGGGAAGAAGTTCTTCTTGGACTTCAAGGGAGATAGTCTTGGAGGACTATCCCAAGAAGGTGGTGGTGCTTGAGGGCTTGACATCTCTTGTTCGTCCAAGAGGTTTCTTTGAGGTGGTATGTGGCGAAGTGGATCGCCTTTATAGGGTCAAGGACTTGTGAATCCTTTTCCATATCTAACTAGGAAAACCTGAAAAAGCTCAAAAACAAAAAGGAAAAACGAAATCAAAAGAAAAAGGAAAAATAACAAAAACTAAAAAGGGAAAAGAAAACCCTAGACTAGCTCTCTTGCAAGAGCTTGTAGGTGCGAATTGGTCCCCGGCAACGGCGCCAAAAACTTGATCGCGGGATCAGGTCTTCCCTTTCCTATCCCTGATTCTGCAAGTGCACAGGTCAGAAGTAGTAAACGGGTATCGAACACGAGGACCAGATTGCACACTACAAACTATGAGTTGAGATCGAGCTAGGGCAAAAGTATAAGTTGGTTGAGTGCAGTGAAAGTAAAGCATGCAAGTAATAAAGAAAGTGAAATCAATAGGAGAGAAAGGCTAAGCAATAGGATAGTCTTAAGATAAGCAATTCAAGAAGCAAGAAATCAATCAATTAGGGTTACCGCAATTAGGTGCCAATCTAGAACTTGAAACACTATGGTATGATCATTCCACTGTCGAGGCTCCGACCCCTTTGTTAATCTACCTAGTCGCTAAACTTTTGGTATGTCCCTAGGTGATTAAATCAAGCATTAGTTCGATTAAGTTCAATTGTTCACAACCTACAAGTAAATCAACTTTCGCAGTCTAAAAGAGGTTGCCCACCAAATACTAGTTCAGGCGAATGATACAGCACTGTCGAGGCTCAAATCAACCTAAAGGCATATGCTAATTGGCCAGATTAACAACAAGCATTAAGTATAAGCAAAGATGGAGATTATAAGTAAAACCCTAATTGTGATCAATCATCAAGCATACATGAATGCTATCCTTTGACTTCCTATCACTTAACAAGTAAACTACTCAGACATAGAGAAGGAAACGAATTCATATTCATAAGAACAGAGATTCGAATCCTCTCTAGAAAGAGAACAAGCAAGAACAAAGTAAAAGCAAGCAAAACTTTATTAAAGATGTAAAGTAAATTGTGGTCTCTCTCCTTCTTGAGTTACAAGGCTAAAAAGAAGTATTTATAATGCACTAAGTATGAAAAGCGGCTAGACCTAATCTAGCTAGGTCGGCGCCGGCTTGGGCTTGAATTGTGCGGATTGGGCTTCAAAAACGGCTTCGGGTCGACCGCGGCGTTCGGACGGTCGGTCGGGACGATCGGCCGGTCGTCGGGTCGTTCGGCTATCGACGGTCGGAACGATCGTGGCCGGAGTTTTCGGTCGGCCGCGGGTCGGACGGATGAATTTGGCCGATGAACTTGGCCGGACGTGGGACGATGCTTCCTGGTCGGACGGATGCGTCGGCCGCGGTACGTGAGGTTGTGCGCGGCCGCGAGGCTTGCCTTCCCGGCGCGGTCGTGCGCGGCGTGGCGTGTGAAGTGGTTGGCCGACCGCGGGACGATGTTTCCCGGGTCGGACGTGGGATCGGCCGTGGACTTGCGGACGCGATGATATCGCGGCCGGCCGGAACATTCGTTCCTCGGCCAGCCGGACTGCGCGTTCGGACGCTGATTCTCGATAGAGCCGTCTGGAGCAGTCTTCACTCTTTTGGCTATAACTCCTTTTCTACTCATCCAAATGAGCCATTCCAATTGCGTTGGAAAGTTAACTCAATCAGAGCACGCAGGGAACTGGTCTTGATGAAATCCATTGAGTAGATCTTTTTTAGCTCCATCCAAAGTTGATGCAGTGGGCATTGAACTGGTTTGAAGTCCAAATCCTGTTTTGCTCCATAATGCACCTTTTTACCTAAAATGACTCTTTGCACTATAAATCCATAAAAACTACCTTTTAACACAAGAATCCACTAGAAAACCATTAGAAAACCATAGTAAAATAGCATAAAAAGTAGGTAAAATAGAGGTATATCACTCATTCAACCATTGTGGTGATTTGATGCATTTCTCTATCTATTTGAACCTTAAACTTGATCTTTAATTACCATTGATTGCATTTGATATCAACTCATGGATACCATATACATATCTGTACATTCTTTTCCCTTGTTTTTCCCTCTTGCTTGTCCAAATAGCTGCTCTCCACCTTTGAGACAGTTACCACACCTTGAACCTTGTTCTTGACTATGCTTAGTATAAGGTGTTGTGTATAAACCGGAAAAAGCAGTAGTTCTTGTTGTCTAGTTCTTCTTGGGTTATTTTCAGGTTAAGTTTGGGGATGTCAATTTGGACTTGGGCGAA